TCTCCCCTGGTCTCTAGTCTACCTGTTCAGAGATGCTTTCACACAGCTCTGCAGCAGGTGGGACTTAAAACTGGGTTCCTGATCACAGGTAGGAAAACTAGCCCTGCACCACGAAGGGTACTACTGTACTCACGTCATATTGTTACTCCTATTCTTCCTAACAGAATTAATCAATTTATATTCCTGAATTAAATTTAATCTGCTCTTTGTCCATCCACCTATTCCACCAACTCGTTGATGCCTTTCGAATTTCAACTTTATCCTTTACAAAGTTCACAATATTTCAAGCTCCATTTTGCCAACAAATTTTGATATTGAAGCCTGGACACCGAAGTTTAGGTTATAAACAAAAATCATGAAGAAACAGAAAAATACAGAAAATAGGAGTAGGCCATTTTGGCCTTTTAAACTTGCTCCATCATTAATTATGGTTGATCATCCAATTTAGTAGGCTATTCTCACTTCTTCCCCTTCTCCCCAAATCCTTTGATCCCTCAGCCCCAAGTACTATAGGCAACTCCTTGTTGAAATCACAATATTTTGGCCTGGACTGCTTTCTGTGATAGCTAATTCCACAGGCTCACCACTCTCTGGGTGAAGAAAATTATCCTCATCTTAGTCCTAAATGTCTTAATCCATATCCATCGGCTGTGGCTCCCGGTTCTGGACTGCCCTGGCATCTGGAACACACTTCCTGTATCTAACTGGTCTAGTCCTGTTAGAATTTTATTGGTTTCCATGGAGACGTCCCCTCATTCTTCTACACTCCAACAAATACAATCCTAATTAATTCAATCTCTCCTTATACATCAATCCTCCCATCCAAGCAATCAGTCTAATAAATCTTTGCTACACTCCTTCTATAGCAAGAACATCCTTTTTCAAAAGAGATAATCAAAACTACATATACAATATTCCAAATATGGTCTCATCAAGGCCCTGTACGTATTACAGCTAGACATCCCCGCTCTTGTACTTGAATCCTTTCACCACGAAGACCAACATACCTTTTGACTTCTTGACTGCCTGCTGCACCAACTCATTGCACATTCCCCTCTCTCAATTTATAGCCATTGCAGGTAATAACCTGCCTTGCCGTTTTTGCTCCTGAAGTGGATAACCTCACATTAAACTGCATCTACCATGCATTTGTCCACTCATTCGGCTTGTGCAAATCATACTGAATCATCTCACATTAATCTCTTGGTTTCATAGCTCTTGCCAAACTAGATTAGTATCCTTGACCCATCTGGAGCATTTCTCTCCAGGATTACAATATTCTCCTTAAATCTACACTGCTACTCCACCTCTTTTCTTTCCAGAACACCTTGTGCTCAGAAATATTTAGTACCCAGCCCTGTCCTTCTTTAAGCCAAATTTCAGTCATCATCACGTCAGATTCCCTGCCCCTGCAGTTCACCAACTTTATCACAGACACACACACGGTCTGACAGCAGCTGTGGAGTGAAAAGACAGTAAATGTTCCAAGTCCAGTGACCCTTAATCTGCACTTTTACTTTGACTGTACCGTTACTTTACTGATTCTTTCTTGTGTGCTGTCACTTCCCACCTTCTGCACACCTTGGTATTCCTCACTAATGTAGCCTTTTGTTCCTACAGCGAGTAGTCATTCTTTGTTAAATTCAAGTAGTCTTGTGCAACAGGGGTAGAATCCATAACTCTGAGCCAGAAGCTTTGGGGTCAAATCATGCTCTAGGACTTGATGGCCAAGGATCATGCATTCGTAATGTGGCCAAACTGGTTGAAATCTATTTGTATGACAATACTACAGCTTCAAAACATGAGTGTTTTGTCCTCGTTCTTTATAAAGAAAGATTGAGACAGAGCTGCTGAGCAGTCTGCTCAAAGCCATTAAAGGAATGTGAGGCCTTGGTTTTTTTTTGTAAAAGTTGGAACAAGAGAAACAGCCTGAAATGGATGGGGTCAAGCTCCCACAGAACCAGGATTTTTAGTTTTAGCTTTCTGCAGTTGTTTGGGTCTTGAAGTTTGATGTGGAAGCTCTAATTCCTCTCTCTGTTATAGCTAACAGGTGCAATTCTCTTCCTGTTGCTAGAATTGCATGTGAGACAATCCGTTCTACTGAATTTGCCTTTGCCAAAAGGTGTGTTTATGGGATGTTACTACGTTGGAACAGTTAATTAGTAGTAGTTAATTATTTAGTTAAGCCGATTATTTTCTTTTGTTTTACTTTTGTCAGTATTTTAACTGTAGTGTAAAAATAAAGTGTGTTTTGTTTAACGTTGAGTAGTTTGATCAATTGAATAACATCAGCCTTATGCTTAGCTTTAAAATAAGAAAAATAAGTGTCCAAACTATCTTCTTAACATATTTTGAGGGGTTTTGGTCTGGTCCACAACACTTGCAAGTCCTTCCAATATCGAGGGCAGATGTACCAGAGATTCCTGGTCAACTATGTAATGAAAGAAAATTGCAGCCTCTACCAATAGTTAATGGTTTCCTCCCATCTGTTTCCAAGCGCACAGCCCAGTTACACACAATCAGCCTGCCTCGTGCACCAACAGCTACAGTCAAAAGTAAGGGCACTCAAACAGTTCAATACACAACTAATTACAAAATGTCGTTCAAACAAATGATCTACAAACTTCATGCAATAAAAAAAAAACTAATGTCTCCTTCATATTAACAGGAAACATTAATGGCAATTAAAATAGCTGGACAGTGTATTTTTGACAGCTGTTAGCTTTTTTTAATATTCTGTAAATGCATTATTTATAGCTACTGAACTAAAAAAGGTCTTGCAGCATTGCTTTTATTACAGGCTATCAATGAGATACCAGTACTTATATAAGTGCAATCCAAATCAGAAGAATGTCAAATGGCAGATACTGAACAGAAGTAAAGCTCTGAAAAAAAGGTGTACTGTAAAAAATTCCTCTAAAGGAATCTTTGCAAATGCTAAAAAAAAACTTACAAACAATGGTCAAAGTTCTGGAGCAGTACTATTTGTTTTGATAGAGCAACATACATGAAAAAGAAATGTGGAAAAAGATAATTTTGTCCAAACATTATAATAGCAGCTCAAAATGAGAATAAAGCAAATTCTTCCATGGATTATACAGACACTTCTCTAATCATTCAAATTTAAACCCAACTTTGAGATTACTACATATTATTCAGATAAAATTTTACACTGGGGGGAGTTATATAATCAAAGTCGTGTATTAGTTTTCAAAACGTTCCTATCCAAATTAGGAGAAGTAGGCCAATCAGTCTCTCAAGCTTCTGTATTGATTAAGCTCATGGATCACGTTCCTAAACCTTTGACAAAAGTAAGTTTGTTAAATATACTAAAAAATTTTATATGGAAACGTGAAATATGAAGCATCGTCCTCTTTTCCTTCATTTCAAATAACCTCCCATCTTTGAAAGTGTGGAGAACTCCCAAGTCACAAACAATAGTACTATCTTGCATCTCATCTGTAAGTCAGTCCCTTTGAGAATAAACTTGACCTTGCAGTGAGGTTCATAACGAGAAACTGAAAATCCAAACCCTTAATCGTCCTCAACTCTTAATAATGCTGCTCAGGTGGTGCTTTACTGTGCGGTACTTAGGTCATCCAATTAAACCATTTTTTATTTTTGGCAGCAATTTGCAGTCATCTCCATTATATAATCTTTAAAACACATTGTTGTTTCCAGAACACTAAGTTAATTTAGAATCATAAATAGTCAAATCAGAAATCATAGTTGGAAAAAATTACAGGTGAAGAAATTAAAGCCAACATGGAAAAACTTTAAGTTCAAGTTCATCAATGAATTAAGAAAGATGTCTGCTGTGGGCCACAAGGCTGATTCATGTATGAAAGTTCAACAGGAATGGATGAAGGACCATAAAGTAGATACTTTAGCAAAAGTAAAGCCTATGAGATTAAAATAGGCCGGTGCAAACGTAAAAGATAATGCACTGCATTTACACAAAAAATTAATTTGTTGACAAACATATTTCTAAATTTAGTTACAGTGAATACATTTGGGACTAAGAGGGTTAGGATGAAGGATACATGTGCTAATTGGCAGAATGATAAAACATTGCATACCACAAGGATCTGTTTGGGCTTCAACTTTTCATTACATTAATGACCTGAATATACAGCTTCAATCCTGCATTCAAGCTTGCAGATAACTGGAAGACATAGTTTCCTTAGTTTGTGTGCAACAACTGTTCATTTTATTGATTCTGGAACGAGAGGATGATGCTGAAGAGAGATATACTCTGGATTTTAGATAGATTTAGTCTCATAGAAACAGGAAAACCTTAGGATCGATGCTGAAACACTGCTTGCTCTGGCTGGAGAAGCTTGCACTAGACATCAGTCTCAGAGTAAGGGGTCTGCTAAACAAATGAGAAGAATCTTCACCCAGAGAGCTGTGAATCTTTAGAATTACCTATCCAAGATCACAATCAACTGATTAATATATTCAAGACGGTACAACCAAGACCATGAAGTTTC